GTCCCGTATCCCACCGTAACGTACACAGTGTCGCGTCTTAGCCGACGTGGAGGCAACCCGTTCATAGTGTTCATACGTAGAATAACGAAATAGCATCCCGTGCGTCTGGGAGGAGTCCGTTTCTGTTCGTCAGTACTCGTCGCTATCATATTATATTATCGTCGCCGCCGCCGTGACAGATAATAATATATCGTCGTGGTCGCCGTCAGGGAGCTGCAGTCTTCGTTCCTGTACGTACCTCTGCCGCACGAGTGGTGCAAGGACGACGTCACCGAACGAGTCACGGGTCAGTGGGACGAGTACACTATCACCGTTGCACTGTTATCAACGGAAATGTTATCAAGCAGTAAACAATAACAATCAAGTATCAATGTAATCGTAATGTATCGGTATTTATTAAACGTCGTTGCGTAAGTTTTATTTATAATTACTCTGGTCGACTGAACTATTATAGTATACATATTATATTTTATAAAAAAAAAAGGGGAACCAATTTTAAATAATTGGAATTGATATCTGGGTTTAATTGCTTGAATTATCTTTCGAAAATTAATAATAATTTACTTCAACCTATTTGWTTTAATTAATAATTGAGACTTTTTGTTAGTGCATGTCGGACCCAGGGTCAAGTAATAGCATTAATTTAGAATTCATAGATTTAAATAGCTCTAGTAGTGATCCCTCTAGTGGAGAATTTTAAGAGCCAAGTAGTGTCTTACGGAGAGAAAGAAATACAATAGAACAAACTGATGAACTTTTAGGGTCAACCAAGTATTTCCTAAAATATTGAATGACAAATATAGAAAATTCAGAGCATCCAAAAAACACGGATTCAGAATATCGACAAAACACAGAACATCCGGAGCATCCAAATAATAAAAATTGGAAGACCAGCAAAATTCTGTAGCCTCAGATTTTAAGTTGGAAGCACGCAAGGTTGGATTAAGCGTCGAAGCGGCAATGTGAGTAGTACCGAACTTTGATGGAACAGCTCCGACCAAGCATATCATTTCCTAAGAGCATGCGGTTTAACAGTCAGGATGATCAAACCGCAATAGATAGAGATGTTAGTCCAAGGATTGATAATAAAGCTGTCGGGAAGAACATTGTGGTCGATGAGGTATACGGATATAACGACCTACAAGGAGTTCCGGAAAAATATTGTGGAAATGTCGGAAACGAAGAAGCTGCTTCCACAGTTACACATGAAATTACTAACATGTAGAATGAGTCCTGACGAAGGGGTGCAAGAATATTATAATAAAATGGAGCAAATACTACATGACTTAATCGGTGCAACAATGAAAGGGCGAGATTATACAAATGAAACAGACATTGGCAGACGGTTACACAATCAGGTATTCAACGCTTTTATACTGGTAGTGATGTCAACATGATAAAGCTTTCAGAGTTAAAAAAAATATTCTGGTGGACGAAACCACCATCTACAAGCTTGGTGACTTGGTGTCAATTCGAAACCAGTGTTTACCATAGGATCAGTCGCCTTAAGAATCCAACTTGGAATGAAAGACTCGACTACCATGTTTCAGGTCACACATGACAATTTTACGATATCAGAAGCAGGGATCTTGAGCGCCACATTCCTCCAGGACAATKAAATAAACATTAACTTCAGAACCTCTACATTATCGATATAATTTCTAAATCATTCAGAGCCTCCAGAACCTCAGAAATTATAACCAAAATAAATCAACCAACCATGTTCAGAAACTCTCGGACCTATTTTGAAGGACGAAGAATATAGAACAACTTAAATGCGCAGAACAGAGGGATTTTATTGGGAAACATTGTAAATCATGTAAAGGATGGACAAATAGTGGTTTCGATAATAAACCCATCAGATCACCGATCACCGACGGATACAAATAATCGAACAAATATTAATAATAAGCACTTTTATTAAGTTTGGCGTCCACTGGTAACCGAGTCACACGGTCACCACAATCTGACCCTCTTTCTGTCTTCATATATTATATTCCTTAAATATCAATTTTACAGCAGTCGCACTATCGATAATATCGATATTAAGTTTGACCTAGTTAAATTATWCTTACTGACTATGCTTAAAATTATGCTAATAGTTATTGTTAAAATTTCCTGTTACATATTATGATTGTTTACTTAAACTGGTTTATAGATTGAATTGTAATATGTTTTGTAAATATTATGCATTACACAACACACCTCTATGTAATACAAAATATGTCCTCATATTTTTAAATAATTATTTCAGTCGAGAATGAAATTTAAATCATATGGGTTTTGTACATATAATTAAATAGAAGTTGATGGTTTTCTCCCAAAGAAGTGGTCGTTGAATATAAATGTAGTAGTCTTCGTTCTCGTCCTTAGATTGGTCGAACATTGTTGTGTATTGGTGTTTCGGCGATGGACGAT